GAAAGCACTGGTAAGCTCAGCAACATAAAAAGGCATGGATGTCCATGGAAGACAACAATGGTGGATGATCAAAGGATCCTCTATGGTAAAGGAAAACCCATTCACAACATCCAGACAAGGGAAGGACACTCTCCAGGAGGTGGGCGTATCATTGTCAATGTCTACAATCAAGAGAAGACTTCATGAGAGCAAACACAGAGGGTTCACCTCAAGGTGCAAACCATTTATAAGCCCTAAGAATAGAAAAGCCAGATTAGACTTTGCCAAAAAAACATCTAAAAAAGCCAGACCAGTTCTGGAAAAGCATTCTTTGGATGGATAAAACTAAGATTAATCTGTACCAGAATGACAGGAAGAAAAAAGTGTGGAGAAGGCTTGGAACAGCTCATGATCCAAAGCACACAACATCATCATAAACATGGTGGAGACAGTGTGATGGCATGGGCATGCGTAACTTCCAGTGGCACTGGGTCATTGGTGTTTATTGATGATGTGACAGAAGCAGCCAGATAAATTCTGCAGTGTTTAGAGATATACAGGTGAAACTCGAAAAATTAGAATATCGTGCAAAAGTTCATTTATTTCAGTAATGCAACTTAAAAGGTGAAACTAATATATGAGACTCATTACATGCAAAGCAAGATAGTTCTAGCCTTGATTTGTCATAATTGTGATGATTGTGGTTTACAGCTCATGAAAACCCCAAATCCACAATCTCACAAAATTAAAATATTACATGCAATCAATAAAACAAGGATTGTACATAGAACAATATCGGACCTCTGAAAAGTATAAGCATGCATATGTACTCAGTACTTGGTTTGGGCCCCTTTTGCAGCAATTACTGCCTCAATGCGGCGTGACATGGAAGCTATCAGCCTGTGGCACTGCTGAAGTGTTATGGAAGACCAGGGTGCTTCAATAGCGGCCTTCAGCTCTTCTGCATTGTTCGGTCTCATGTCTCTCATCATTCTCTTGGCAATGCTCCATAGATTCTCTATGGGGTTCAGGTCAGGCGAGTTTGCTGGCCAATCAAGCACAGTAATCCTACGGTCATTGAACCAGGTTTTGGTGCTTTAGGCAGTGTGGGCAGGTGCCAAGTCCTGCTGGAAAATGAAGTCTGCATCCCCATAAAGCTCGTCTGCGGAAGGAAGCATGAAGTGCTCCAAAATCTCCTGGTAGACGGCTGCGTTGACCCTGGACTTAATGAAGCACAGTGGACCAACACCAGCAGATGACATGGCTCCCCAAATCAACACAGACTGTGGAAACTTCACACTGGACTTCAAGCATCTTGCAGTGTGTGCCTCTCCATTCTTCCTCCATACTCTGGGTCCTTGGTTTCCAAATGAGATGCACAAGTTGCTCTCATCAGATAAGAGGACTTTGGACCACTGAGCAACAGACCAGGTCTGTTTTTCTTTAGCCCAGGTAGGACGCTTCTGACATTGTTGTTCAGGAGCGTCTTGACAAGAGGAATCGACATTTGAAGCCCATGTACAGGATCCGTCTGTGTGTGGTGCCTCTTGATGCACTAACTCCAGCCTCAGTCCACTCCTCGTGAAAGTCCCCAACACTTTTGAATGGCATTTTCCTGACAATCCTCTCCAGGCTGCGGTCATCCCTGCTGCTTGTGCACGTTTTTCTTCCACACTTTTCCCTTCCACATAACTTTCTATTAATGTGCTTTGATACAGCACTTTGGGAACATCCAACTTCTTTTGCAATTACTTTTTGAGGCTTTCCCTCCTTTATGGAGGGTGTCAATGATGGTTTTCTGCACAACTGTCAGGTCAGCAGTCTTTCCCATGATTGTGATTCCTACTGAACCAGACTGAGAGACCATTTAAAGGCTCAGGAACCCTTTGCAGGTGTTATGGCTTAATTAGCTGATTAGAGTGGGACACTTTGAGTCTAGAATATTGCACCTTTTCACAATATTCTAATTTTCTGAGATTGTGGATTTGGGGTTTTCATGAGCTGTAAGCCATAATCATCACAATTATGACAAATCACGACTTGAACTATCTTGCTTTGCATGTAATGAGTCTACCTCAATATATTTCATCTTTTAAGTTGCATTACTGAGATAAATGAATTTTTGCACGATATTCTAATTTTTCGAGTTTCACCTGTACTGTCAGCCCAGATTCAGCCAAATGCAGCAAAGTTGATTGGACGGCGCTTCACAATACAGATGGACAATGATCCAAAACACACTGCAAAAGCAACCCTGGAGCTTTTGAAAGAAAAGTGGAATATTCTGTAAAAGCCAAGTCAGTCACCTGATCTCAACCCAATTGATAATGCATTTCACTTGCTGAAGGCAAAACTAAAGGCAGAAAGACCCACAAACAATAACTGAAGACAGCTGCAGCTAGAGCCTGGAAATCATCAGAAAGAAGGAAACCCAGTCTTTGGTAATGTCCATGGGTTCCAGACTTCAGGCAGTCATTGCCAGTAAAGGATTCTCAACAAAATATTACAAATGAACATTTTATTTATGATTATATTTGATTACATTTGAGCCCCTGAAAATGGAGGGACTGTGTATAAAAGGTGGTTGCAGTTCCGAAAATTTGTACTTTGATAGTTATGTTCAACCCCTTGAATTAAAGCTGAAAGTCTGCACTTCAAAGTCATTTGGATTGCTTCGGTTTAATTTATTCTGGTGGCATACAGAGCCAAAAGTATGAAAATTGTGCCTGTGTCCAAATATATATGGACCGAACTGTATATGTGTTCTTGTGTTTGGACTGGGAGTGTGCTCCTAGCACTGAGACCGGGTCTCTACTAATGATTGGGACATAGGGAACCAGCCCCATGGTTGTGATAGTCTCTGATTTGCTATCATGGTGATCGTTCTGTAGCATTGTTTTTCCTCTATAAAGAGGAATAAAAAACACTTTCCCTCTAATGAGGAGAAGATACATTGTATATTTTCCTCCTTGCTAGAGGTCATGTCTGCAAAAGAGAAAAAAAAAAATCTGTATATTAAAAATAAATTAATATATAAAAAGTAGTTCAGGGCTTGATCTATTGTAGCGAGTGTTGGTGGCAGTGTAAATATCAGGTAATGGTGGTTAGTTGCAGTGTTAGTGTCAGTGTGTTTAAAGTAGGAAAAAAAGGTTTTATATTTAGTATCAGTGCGAGTGTTTAATGTGTTTTAGGTAGGAAAAAAAAAAATTTACTATTGTTTTTTGACCCTATTATGGCTTTGAAAGCAGGCGTTTGAGGGGCATTTTTAATGCTCCTCAAAAGCCTATGGAAATGTCACTATGGGCAGCACACAGTACTGTTCACATTATCAAAACAGCGTTGGCATCGCATCGCTTCAAAATGGAAGCCTCATGTCGAGTCAGGAGGAGCTGAAGCCTTTCAACGCCTCCCATTCAAGTCTATGGTGACGCTCCTCAAGCACCCTGGCAAGCGTTTGTGGGACTTTTGCAGTGCAGTTGCAGCGTGTTAATACCATAAGAGTTTTTTATAGCCATTTGTGGTGCAGTTTTAATGCTTGTAAAATGCCTCATACTAAAGCTCATTAATGCCCATACTAATGCTATAGAGGCGTTTTTAAAGACTAACAAATTTAGTCAAGTGTGAACAAGCCCTTATGGGCATAAAGAACAAATCACACAAAGTCATCACTCGGAGATCAAAATTTTTATTTAAAGAAAAAAAATTAAAAAGGCCTCAAACACTGTTTTGCAGATTTTCAGACATAATTTTAATATAATATTATGCATGGCAGAGTCCCTTGTCATAGGCAGGCAGCTTTGTACAAGGGATCTGCTTCTGCTGTCACTAAGACATTTAGTAGCAGCAGCATGCTTTTTAAATATAATGCGCAATACTGGTAAACCTTTACATTTATTAGTAATGCTTTAATTTACCTCCAGCATCTCTGGGTTTAGATGCTGATCTTCCTTGCAGAATCCTTTCATCACTTCCTTCTTCTGTGCAGGACTCATGTTCCATCAAACATTGCTCCTCACACATTAACATTTTCTTAGGCAGTCACTGACATGTATGGGCAGTATACTGCGTTGTATGTGCGCTGTACTGTGTATAATGACATGTAAATAAATATTGCATTCTGTATGCAGGCAAACTAGTTGATGATTAAAATAGTTGACAACTATTTTTATTATCAATTATGTCGATAAGTTGTTTTAGCCCTAGTCTCACTAAATTTGTCACCCCCTCATCTCCCTTTATACATACCTGATTCCTATATCGATCCAGCTCTGTGCTCTTCTCTCATTCTTCTTCACACAGGCATAGAGGCAGGAGCCAGAAGAGGAGGATACGTAATTTATATAGATTTTTTTATTTGTGTTTTTTTTTCTCTTTTGTACATGAAGTGTAAAAATGCTTTTTAGGGAAAAAAAATTAACTTTTATTTCTCTCCTGTCTTTTTTAGATTTCTTGCCTTCAATGAATTGATCGAAGAAAGTACATTTTGTTGAATTTCTCCCTCGACGACTCCTTTGTTTTTTACCTTCCATCTTTCTTTTTGCTGCATGATTCCTTTAAAGTCGTGGATTATGTTTGTGGCCCTTTTCTTGTGCTCTATCATCTGGCTGAACCGAGGCTTCAAACTCAGAATAAGAGGCAGCTAAAGACAGACCATTTTTTCATCCATCAAAGAATCTGGACTTCATTGCAGAAGAGAGTTTGTCAGAGCTGAGCACTTATCAGGAACTAGCTATTCAATGCTTGTGGAAAATTAGAAAATGGAGTGCAACATTTGAAGCATCTCTTTATATTGTCGATAAACATGTCTTCAGTTCTATGGAGAATTCCAGCTAGCTTTTCAACCATCATTTTATATTATCCTATCTGTAGAATAATGTTGGTGGAAGCCCCAGCTACTTTTATACTGTAACCTATTCACCTTGGCTTTTGTTGCTGATATACACTAAACAAATTCTGGGAAGTTAAGGCTTCCTTAATCTTAAAGGAATTTTTTTTTTTTTTTTTTTTTACCAATGTCAACCGAGGGGTACCAGTATCGAGCGCTGTACTCGTATGATAAAGAGCGAGCAGAGGACATAGACCTTTTGCCTGGTGATATCCTGACTGTTACTCAGGCAGCTTTGATAGCATTAGGCTGCAAAGATGGAGATGAACGTGAACCAGATCGTATTGGATGGATTTTGGGTATCAATGAAAGAACAAAACAGAAGGGGGACTTTCCAGGAACCTATGTGGAATATATTGGGCCTGTCCAAATGTCTTTACCTGCCCATCGTCCACGTGGCCTGCGTCCACTACCTGCTACACCCACTCCACTCCAGACAGAGCAAAGTACTTTCTCTGGTAAGGGTTTAGAAAAAAAAATATATATACACACACACTTTTTCCATTTGTTTTTTGCTTTTGGCTGGTCCAGTTACACATCCTTTCTCTTCTGTTTTGGTGGTAGGGACAGACTGCTGTGCCAAATGACTTGATTTTGGGGTTCTTGGCCAACTTAACACTACAAATGAGAACAAAAAAAAAACCCTGCTGGGGCTCAGTGTGATATAAAAAAAATTATAGCAAGTAGCACAATACTATAACACATAGCATAACAAACATCACAAAACTATAGTGCAATGCTAAGAAAAAATGTATGTGCAATACAACAGTACATAAACTCTTGTGTGTCACCACAAATTGAAAAAAATAACACAAAGGAATCCAAATATGCAGCCAAAAACTGTGAATTCAGTGTTTTTTTAATTATGAGGGAAATGACAGATGTGGATCCCAAAAGCCACCAAACTTCTTAAGGATGAACTACACAGCATCTCGGTGTACAACAAAGGGAGGCTTACCAGAATCATGACCCCTGAGTGGTCAACCAGCACTCTTGTATCAATCCAAGATATCCAGCTTTCCTCAAAACCACATGTCAAACAATGATACTGCTGCATTATATCAGGTCGCTGTACATACTCAGTTGGACATAGTATCATGAAAAAGACAGGCTCTCCGTAGTGTAATCCCAATTAAAACACCAATTTAATGTGGTAAATGCACTTTCCGTTAAAATATGACAATCAGGCACTTCATATATAAACAACTCATGTTCCAGAATCCAAAATGGCTGCGGCAGGATCAAGTATGAATAGTGGCGTGTGCCATCTCTGTCTTACTAGTTTTGTCAAAGATGACATAATCAGGAGTGTATAAAACTGAAGCTTGTTAAACACTGTGTATTATGCATCACTTATGAATGAACACAATGATTGATCGGTACCGATCCAGCTGGAGGGAGAGGAGGAGAAGCCATATCTCAACTTCTAAAGAGAGAGGGGAGCAGGGGGGAAGAGGATGATGCAGAGGAAGGGGTGATTTGGGGGGGAAGCGCATTTGTAAGGTCAGGCACTAATGACAGACGACTCAGTCTCTGCTCTAATCATCTCAAAAGTGGTCTATCGGGTTGAGGTCAGGACAGTCAGGTTCCTCCTCCTCAGACTCGCTCGTCCATGTCTTGCTTTGTGCACTGGTGCGCAGTCATGTTGGAACAGGAAGGGACATCCCACAAAGTTGGGAGCATGAAAATTGTCAAAAATGTCTTGGTATGCTGATGTTTTAAGAGTTTATTTCACTGGAACTAAGGGGCCAAGCCCAACTCCTACAAAACAACCCCACACCATAATCCCACATCCACCAAACTTTACACTTGGCACAATGTAGTCAGGCAAGTACTGTTCTCCTGATAACTGCCAAACCCAGACACGTCCTTCGGATTGCCAGACAGAGAAGTGTGATTCGTCACTCCAGAGAACACGCCTCCAATGCTATATAGTCCAGTGGCATTGTGCTTTATACCACTGCATCCAATGATTTGCATTGCACTTGATGATGTAAGGCTTGAATGCAGCTGCTCGGCCATGGAAACCCATTCCAATAAGCTCTCTACGCACTTTTGTGCTAATCTGAAGGCCACACGAAGTTTGGAGGTATTTAGCTATTGACTCTGCAGACGGCGACTTCTGTGCACACTGTGCACTTCAGAATGCGCTGACCCCGCGCTGTTATTTTACATGGCTTACCGCTTCGTGGATGAGTTGCTGCTGTTCCCAGTTGCTTCCACTTTGTTATAATACCACTAATAGTTGACCATGGAATATTTAGTAGCAAGGAAATTTCATGGATGGACTTATTGCACAGGTGGCAACCTATCACGATACCACGCTTGAATTCACTGAGCTCCTGAGAGTGACCCGTTATTTCACAAATATTTGTAGAAGCAGTCTGCATGCCTAGGTGCTTGATGTTATACACCTGTGGCCATGGGGTGATTGGAACCCCTAAAATTCAATGATTTGAAGGGGTGTCCCAATACTTTTGGCTATATAGTGTATATATAGAGTTCTCTTAACCCCTTTCCCTCTAGTATAGTGTTTAATAGCTCTGTGCCATAAAGTAGGCGATTGTAGCAGTAATTGTTAGTGGTTCTAAAGCCAAAAAGTTTTTTTTTTTACCTTAATGCAGGGCTTGACAAGTGCCAGGTCGCCATGGCGCCCAGAAAACTGCGTCCTGTGCGTTTTTGGCTATGGAGATTATCGAATAGCGCGAGCACAAGAGGCACATCAAAGATCGGGGTATGGAAGATGAAATCGGGGGGAGGAGTGTCCTGTGGTGTCATGTTGGGGTGCATACGCTGTACTGTCAGTAGGTGTGGGGGATTTTGTATGTCACGGAGGGGGGTGCCCTGACGTGTTAGGGTAGTGCGGAGCTGTATCCTGTGGAGTCACGGGGGGGTAGGGGGGAATTATCTTGGAGTGTAATGTGATTTCATGAGGGGTGCGCAAAGGGAAGTCATGTGGTGTCACTGAAATTCAGTGGTGTCACAGAGGAGGGGGGTTTCCTGTGGTGTCAGTAGGTCAGTACATGTAGAGGTGTATCCTGGGAGTTGGATGCGGCGAGGTATCTTGTGGTGTTAGGGGGGTGCAGAGGAGTGCCCTGTGGTGTTGGGGGGGGGGGGGGGGGGGGGGGGAGTAGTACCCTGTAGTGTCACGGGGGTGCAGAGGGGTATTTTTTTCAGGGAGGGGTCAGCCCACGCACCACAACACACACTGAAAACCCTGGCCCCCAACAACCCCAAGTTATAAATCCACACCCCCCTCGAGAGCCCCAAAGGGACTTGCATCCCGCAAAACCACCCAATGAGTAAGCTGTCCCACCCAGCAGCATGCCTGGCTCCCCTCCATGTGCAAATCCAAGATCTGCCACTTCCGTCGTCGAGAACAAAGCCTTGCTACTCAAAAAAAAAAAAAAAAAAAAAAAAAACTGGCTCCCAACTTTTTTTTTTTTTTTTCTTTTTAGCTGGCTCCTATATTCAAAGCCAATTTGCCAAGCCCTGTCTTAATGCATTCCCTGCATTAAGATAAAAAATATTTTATTTCTCACTGTCCTCCCTTTTCCCTGGCTGAGGGGAGATTAGTTCTAGTGCTGTGCATGGCTACACTTCTACTCTTCTTATCCTCTTCACACAAGACTCAAGACTGTCAATCAAATGCAGTGAGGAGGAAGCAGGTTAAGCTTCTACAGGTGAAACTCGCAAAACTAGAATATCGTGCAAAAGTTCATTTATTTCAGTAATGCAACTTAAAAGGTGAAACTATTATATGAGATAGACTCATTACATGCAAAGCAAGATAGTCCAAGCCATGATTTGTCATAATTGTGATGATTATGGCTTACAGCTCATGAAAACCCCAAATCCACAATCTCACAAAATTAGAATATTACATGCAATCAATAAAACAAGGATTGTACATAGAACAATATCGGACCTCTGAAAAGTATAAGCATGCATATGTACTCAGTACTTGGTTTGGGCCCCTTTTGCAGCAATTACTGCCTCAATGCGGCGTGGCATGGAAGCTATCAGCCTGTGGCACTGCTGAGGTGTTATAGAAGACCAGGATGCTTCAATAGCGGCCTTCAGCTCTTCTGCATTGTTTAGTCTCATGCCTCTCATCTTTCTCTTGGCAATGCCCCATAGATTCTCTTTGGGGTTCAGGTCAGGAGAGTTTGCTGGCCAATCAAGCACAGTAATGCCACGGTCATTGAACCAGGTTTTGGTGCTTTAGGCTGTGTGGGCAGGTGCTAAGACCTGCTGGAAAATGAAGTCCGCATCCCCATAAAGCTCGTCTGTGGAAGGAAGCATGAAGTGCTCCAAAATCTCCTGGTAGACGGCTGCGTTGACCCTGGACTTAATGAAGCACAGTGGACCAACACCAGCAGATGACATGGCTCCCCAAATCAACACAGACTGTGGAAACTTCACACTGGACTTCAAGCATCTTGCAGTGTGTGCCTCTCCATTCTTCCTCCATACTCTGGGTCCTTGGTTTCCAAATGAGATGCAAAAGTTGCTCTCATCAGAGAAGAGGACTTTGGACCACTGAGCAACAGACCAGGTCTGTTTTTCTTTAGCCCAGGTAAGACGCTTCTGACGTTGTTTGTTGTTCAGGAGCGTCTTGACCAGCCTCAGTCCACTCCTCGTGAAAGTCCCCAACATTTTTGAATGGCCTTTTCCTGACAGTCCTCTCCAGGCTGCTGTCATCCCTGCTGCTTGTGCACGTTTTTCTTCCACACTTACCTTCCACATAACTTTCTATTATTGTGCTTTGATACAGCACTTTGGGAACATTCATTCAACTTCTTTTGCAATTACCTTTTGAGGCTTTCCCTCCTTATGGAGGGTGTCAATGATGGTTTTCTGCACAACTGTCAGGTCAGCAGTCTTTCCCATGATTGTGATTCCTACTGAACCAGACTGAGAGACCATTTAAAGGCTCAGGAACCTTTTGCAGGTGTTATGGCTTAATTAGCTGATTAGAGTGGGACACTTTGAGCCTAGAATATTGCACCTTTTCACAATATTCTAATTTTCTGAGATTGTGGATTTGGGGTTTTCATGAGCTGTAAGGAAAAAGGACAGAGACAAAAGGCAAAGAACGCCTTGGTCAAGCGGGTCCAAAAGAGGTCAAACTGTGGCTTGTAAATAGAAATATATAAACCTTTTATTACAGTAAAAAACATGAATCAATGCACATAGTAAAACAAAACACAATGTTTTGTTTTACTATGTGCATTGATTCGTGTTTTTTACTGCAATAAAAGGTTTATATATTTCTATTTACAAGCCGCAGTTTGACCTCTTTTGGACCCGCTTGACTTAGGCGTTCTTTGCCTTTTGTGTCTGTCCTTTTTCCTTAGCTATGCTTGGGCCCTGAGGACACCACATGACCATTTTCATGTGAGTCGGCTGTATATTATGGAGGGCACGATTTATCCATGATTCATGTTTTGAACCCCTTTCTTCAGGTTTTTCCTTGGTGATTGATTTTTTACTTTAGTCCGATATCAGGAGTGTCCCGGTTAACTCATTTTTTATAGTTCATGAGCTGTAAGCCATAATCATCACAATTATGACAAATCACGGCTTGAACTATCTTGCTTTGCATGTAATGAGTCTATCTCATATATTAGTTTCACCTTTTTAGTTGCATTACTGAAATAAATGAACTTTTGCACGATATTCTAATTTTTTGAGTTTCACCTGTAGCTTAAAACAGCTTCTAGCTTAAAAAACGCTAGTTTGCATGGAGCCATAAAGTCTAACTTGGCCATTTTTTTAATTGTAAATAAAGTGAGGAAAGGTTAAGTACCTCCTTCAGCATTGTATTGCTTTGTCTGTCCTCATAATGGAGATTTCTTCACTTTCTGCTGGCTATACAGTAACTAAAAGAAATCTCACCAATAGAACAGAGGTTCGAACCCTTTCCCTTTCTAGAACTAAAAATTTAAAACAATTTAAAACAATTCTGCTAATTTTATGTCCTATAAACACAGACCCACTCCCATCTAAATTTAGTTTCTCACTGGAGATACATTTTTAATACACATTGGGTTCATATATACCACTTTTTAGAAGTTTTTTTTTTTTTTTTTTTTTTTAAACCGCAAATGCTGAAAGTACACTGGCTGCACTGTTTAACTATATTAGTCCCTGGGACACAGCAACTTGGTTGGTCCAAGCCAGCATGAAGGCTGGACCTGCCTGCTGTCATTGACTGCCAGGGTCCAGCACAAAGCTGACAAGCTGAAATGGATCAGTTTCTGAGCTTCCAATTCCACTATATGGCACTCTATAGGAGCGCTTGCTGCATATCTGTGTGAACACTGTGATGTGATTTGATGTCACGGAGTCCTTAGTGCAGAGGCTTGGAAAGAGTTTACTGTATGCAGCTGTTTTCAACCTCTCCCTGCAGCATTAGACCTCTGCTATAGTCATTTATTGCTGAAGAGTGGTCTTTGGGAATGGTCTCCAGAAAGAAATCACCAGGACCAGATGGCTTACACCCGAGAGGCTTCAAAGAATTTAGCCAGGCCATTGCTAGACCGATTTTCCTAATCTTTATGGAAAGCTTACTGACTGGAATGGTACCAGCAGATTGGCATAAGTCGATCGTGGTACCAATATTCAAAAATGGGCTAACGGGAAACTACAGACCAGTTAGCCTAATGTCAATAGTTTGTAATTGGAGGGGATGATGAGACCATATCCAAGAATTTGCAGATGGGATTAGCATCATTAGTAACCAGCATGTATTTATGAAAGATTGTTCCTGCCAGACCAACCTATTTACATTTTATGAGGAAGTGAGCTGCTATCTGAATAAAGGAAGGACTGTGGACCTAGTATATCTAGACTTTGCCGAAGCATTTGACACGATACATCATAAACATTTAACCCACAAATTGAGGTGTGTTGGTAATGAGGATGGTATATGTACCTGGATAGAAAACTAGTTACAATGGTACGTCCAGGGGGTGGTGATAGGTGATAAATAGCGTATCTTCTGAATGATCTGAAGTTATAAGTGGGGTACCCCAAGGCTGATTAGTGTAGTTCGGTGTAGGTAGTTCGGTGTAGGTCATGTGATTGACTCCTTCCGTATCATGGCTGAAATGCAGGGATTTTCTGGATCTGCAGAGCAGGATATTCTGCCCAGCGGATGCTAGCCTGATGACCCTCCCAGTGATCCAGCTTAAATAGACGGATGACCAGGAGTTGGTTAATACTCAAATGCGCATTTCTATTGCGCTTTCTGGTTAGTGCAATCTACACTCATTTCGGTGGGAGGAATATGGTCACGGAAGTCACCAATTTGTTCACCACTTCATTGTGATATTGTGCACTGTGTACCACAAGAACACTCTCATTGGAGATATTTATGTCATTGCAATTTATGAACGTT